CTTTAATAAATGATGTTGGAAAAACTGGATTTCAACTTGTCAAAAATTAAAACTAGACCTTAATCTTTCACCATGCACTAAACCAAAATCCAAGTGGATTAAATATATAAATATTAAAACAGAAATACTAAACTTACTGGAAGATAAGCAGAACTCTTGAAGATATTGACATAGAAAGAGACTGTATGAACAAATCCTCAGTAGCACAGGAACTAGCAGAAAGAATCAACAATTGGGATCTCATCTTTTTAAAAAGCTTCTTCACTGCCAGAGAAATCACAAGCAGAGCTAAGAGATAACCCATGATGTGGGAAACATTTTTACCAGCTGTTCCTCAGATAAATGTCCACTATCTAGAATATGTAAAGAACTCAAAAATAATCAGATCCCCCAAATATAAAGACCCAATTCAAAAATGGACATCTGAAGTAAACAGACATTTATCAGACAAAGAAGTAAGAGAACCAAATAATCATATGAAAAAATGTTCAACATCATTGGTCTTTCAAGAGATGCAGATGAAAACAGCACTGAGATTCCATCTCACCCCAATAAGAATGGCTACTATCAATAAATCAACTAAAAATAAATGGCTGGTAGGGAGATAGGAACTCTTCTTCATTGTTGGTGGGTGTGAACGCTGGTGCAAGCACTATAGAAATCAATATGGAGACACCTCAAACAACTAGGATTAGAAGTTCCATTTGACCCAGCTATTCCTCTGCTGGATATCTTCCCAAAAGAATTGAAAGAATCATATCACAGTGATATATGCTCATCCATGTTTATAGAGGCACAGTTTGTAATAGCTAAAACTTGCAAACAGCCCAGCTGCCCATCAACTGGAGCCTGGATAAAGAAGATTTTTTTAATAAAATGGAATACTACTCAGCCATAAAGAATGAGAAATCAGAGATTTGTAGCTAAGTGGCCATACTCTTAAGTGAACTGAATAGTTTCTCTGGGGTGAAAAAGTAAAAATGTAAATAAGGATCAAAATGTATAACTGATATTGTGTAATAGGAAGAAAAGTCTAAAAGAGTAGAAGAAGTGGGAGGGGTAGGGGAAAGGTAAAAAGGGAAAAGAAAAATTTTGTGAAAAGGGAGAACATGGAAACAATATCTTTGTAAACAGGGAAGGGAGGAGGGGCTGAGGGGAGGGCTGGGGAATGGGGAAAAATAAGAACCTGATAAGTCATGTGAAGGTACAAGATCCCAGTGATGAATGTAACTGTGTTGTATACCTAATCTGTACCAATAAATTTAATAAAGATTCAATAACAACAACAAAAATACACATGCCTTCTACTGGCATTGTTTGCTAACAATGTGCAAGGCCCTGAGCCAGATGGCACTCATCTGTCTATTTATGTATCTATGTCCTCGTATAACATTATATATTATATGTATATATATTATATATGCATATACCTGAACATACTTTTTAAATATCCACTTTGGGTGGTTGAATTATTCACTTTTCATCTGTTTTCTGTTGTGCAATGTAGGCTCAACCTTATGTGTAGAGGGTAAAGTTTATTATGCTCAGCAAGTTTACCTGAGTGTCTGAAGTGCTGCAATAGCCTCCATTTGCCCAGTGTCCTGAGAGCCCTCCCTGGCCTTCGACACAGGCTCCCTTGACATAGGAGACTGGAAAGCGACTGACTCTATCTGACAATTTCAAGGCCCAGCTTTGTGGGGAGGCCGGGCAGAGCAGGTCTGTTTCCCAAGGTTATCAGCACCTCCCAGCAGCATCCCTGTGTAAAGTTCTGTCCCGTTTTCCAGCCACATCAAGGACTGCAGCCTCCAGAGAGAGAGCCGTGGCACTCTACGGCTTGTCAATTTTATTGAAATCTGTGTTTGTTAAGCTCAAAACTAATGTTATAAATTGAAATGGATATTTCTTGGCTCCCTGACTATATTAACCAAAGACTGAACAGAAAATGTGCATATAGGATTCTCAAAGAGCAGTTTAACACAACACCAAAAAAATCTGAAATCACTTGATAGGGATTCAAATGTCTCACTTTAGGCATTCACAATTCCTTTAATAGCATTCATATTCACTTAAATTACTCTGTAGTAACTGTGACACCTGACTATTTAAAATCATTTGCATGGTACTAGGGATTGAGCTGAAGGCCTACTCTCTAAACTAAATCTCAAAACTTAATCCATCATCCCCTCCCCCCCCTTTTTTTTTAACTGGGGATCAAGCTCAGGACCTTGCACTTTTGAAGCAGGCAGGGAGCTGCACCACTGAGCTAAAACCTTAGCACCCCCATCCCTTTTAAAATTTTTAGACAGGGTATCACTAAATTGCTAAAGTTGCCTAGGCAGGGCTTGAATTTGCCATCCTCCTGCCTCAGCCTCCCATAATGCTGGGGTTATAGGTTTGAACCACTATGCCCAGATTCTAGTGCATTTTATAAATGTATAGTTCCAGTTTTTGAGGGTAATACATGCACTTTAATCCTGAATTAGGCATTTTGGTGAGTAGTCCTTAGAGTAACATCCACTGATATTATTTATACTACATACTATTTGAAAACCATTTCAAGAGCTAGAAAGCATTCTATCATGTGGTAATGTATCATAATTCCGCCAGTGCACTCAGCTGGAGTTGTTACAATGCCCAAGGCTTAAGGCCATGCTCTGCTTGAATGCAGTTGGCTCAGTGGGATGTGGAAGTTCTGTGGCCAGATGACCTAGGTTCAAGCCCAATTTAATCATTCTGTAGTGCTGTGACATTGAGCACATCACTTCTTTGTTCAACATGTAATTTCCCCAGATCTAAAACAAGGATGATGGGCCATTCCTCCTTCCTAAGATTGTTGCAGTGATTTAGTGAAATAAAGCAAGTACCTACTGCATGCTACGTGGTAGCCAGTACTGTTATATTAAACCAAAGGAAATGATGAAGGATCTCATCTGTAAACCTAGTAATGGGATAAAATTTTATGTGATGGATTGGTCTCTGACCAAAGCAGATGTCTAGATAGCTGGATTGGTAGTGACTCATTATTTTACTTCAAAAGTCAAAACACAGCTTTAACAGACTAGATGGCTTCAGGGAAAAGGATGTAACTTCCTAGGGAAATAATAAAGGACTTTGCAATGAAAGGAAACCATGTGCTCAGTCAGATATTCTCTAGTTTATGGAAAATATTCTTTTGATAAGACAGAAAGTCTCTTCCAAAGTCCTAGAAGAACTGATTTACATCTGGTCTGGAGGCAGCAAAGCAAAAGAAAATGTTCTCAACCCTACCTTCCATATAGTACTTCAGTTCCTGGTTGATTCAGGGAGGTTTCTAATAGGGCAAGGTGAGTAGGGGCTCCAGTTTTGATGAACTGAAATGTCTGCCAAATCACCAGGGTAGGTCTTAGTCTTAGGATTCCTCAGGAAGCAGATGGGTTCTTTCTTGCCCTATTGAAGTTGTGACTACATTAAAGAGACTCATATTTATTCCCATGCTCCTTTTTAAAGCAAACCAACCGGGTCCATCAGAATCGACTGCTATCCAGGATTGTACAGTTTCTTCAACTTATGGCCCAATTCTTGGAGTTCTTTCCTCCAGACTTGGAACCTAGTCTGAATCTCATCCCTAAACCTTAGAAATGTCTAGAATTCCTTTAAAATGTGGTACTTGTCTTAGACTTTCCAGAGATTTAAGAAGGAAAATGTTAAATGTGCCATAAGGTAACCAGATCTGGCATAGAGCTCAGAGCACCCCCTACCTTTCCCTACCCTACATCCCATGTTTACCTTTGCTCTTGTACACAAATCCATAAAGTGCTTTCCCCTTCCCTTATGCTTGGTTATGCTTTTATGTGTGACTTTCTATAGCTGCTGATCATTAGGAAGCAGTCTTACATATCTTCATACTGCTTTAAAATCTTCTCAGTCTTTCACTTAAGCTGTTTTTCTTAACACCAGAAAACCCCAGTACGTGGGCAACCAAAAGCATTATTATAGAGTTGAGGAAACCCATACTCAGAAGGGTTGGGATGTGTCCAGACTTCCCAAACAACCTGGAGTCCAACAGAGGGTGCTTTATGTCCTGCCTAGCTCTTTGTTTCCTCTGATGCCTGTTTACAATAATGTCACACAGTAATGCTAACTACTAAAATTATCACATACTTTGTACATTGCTTGGTCTTGTCCATAGACTAATCGATGGGGTGCAGTTGTATGGTGTATACTTTGGATCCTGACAGATTTGGGCCTGATCTCCAGCTCTAATGCTTACTAATCAGAAGTCCTTGAGCATCCTAGCCACCTGTAAAAAGCTGGAGATATCTATTTCTGGGTTACTAGAAAGTGTAAAGGAAATAACACTTTTATCCCAGTGCTTGAACCACTGCAGGTATTCAATGAAGAACAGGTAAACTCACTTATTGCAGCTGGACTGTTTTTCCTACTCACTAGCCTGGGGCCTCTTCCAGGCCATTTGTTTCCCCCAAACCTACTCCAGCTCCTCACTTTCAAGACAATGCCTCCCAAAGTTAACATGCATATGAATCACCCAGGCATCAGAGAAGCACATTCTGTTGCATTAAGTCTGGGTGGATCTGCATTCCCATCAAGTCCAGGGGATAGCAATGTTGCTACTCTGTGAACTATAGTTTGAATAGAGTATATGCCCAGAGAGCTGGACTTTAGGATCAATGATGCTCAAACAGTTCACCATAAACACACAGAGGGCTTTGAAAAAATATAAATTGTTGTGCTCCACCCTAGAGTTTTATTAGGTCTGAGGTGGGACAGGGAGACCTTCATTTCTAACAAATTCCCAATGAAAGGCACACTGCTGGTTAGAAGACTACACTTGTCCTAGGCTTAACAGGGAGCTACTGACGACCAGAAGGAAATTTGGTTCCAGTGACTCTTAGGAGGGCAAGAATATTCTTGAGGAAGCTCCCTCTGAAGGCGGTCTCACCTCCCCCTTTCCAGCCAGCCCCACCCCATAAGCCCACCAGGATAAATGCAACGCGGTGTACCTTGTAGACATTGATGGGGATGTCAATGACGATGTGCAGAAGGTCTCCCAGAGCCAGGCTGGCTATCAAGATGTTGGGACCGTTGCGCATGCACTTGTTCTTATAGATGATTCTCAGCAGTGTGGAGTTCCCGATGATGCCTAGCACGAACACTAAGCAGGACACAACCGTGTTGATGTACTTGAAAGTCTCTTTGATCTCGATGTTTCTGTGGCAAGGTGGAGTAGAGGGGGGACGAGGCGGTCCCCCAGGCGTCTTCCCTCCTTTAGGTACCTGCGCAGGTGCAGAGGATTGTGGCAGGCTGGAGTTGAAACTTCTCTGCCAGGAGGTCTTAGTGGGTGGCGTTATTGTCTTCCCCGTCTCTTGAAACTTTGGAGTGGCCCAGGCAAGCGGGAGCCCTCCTTCCTCTCCCCAGACCCTCGCCGAACTGCAGGCAAGAAGCAGCGCCACCAGGGCGAGTCCGCACAGACTCGGAGGCGGTTGCATGTTGCTGCTTGCTCCAATGGGTGCCCGGTGGCTGCTCCGCTGTTTTCTCTTTGGAGACCGGCAGGGAAACCAAGACGGGACACTAGGATCAGCTACCGAGCCACGCCTCTGCAAACACTAACGAGAGGCTCAGCTAGTAGCCAGTACCCGAGCGCAAAAGTAAATTAAGTTCGCGCGCCTGTAGGAGCTTCGGTGTGAGTCACCAGCCCGCGCGGTGAATCTCTTTCCCGACCCCTCTCCCGGGGTTTTTCTTCCCTACTTCCCGCCAGGGGGTAGGTCGCTTTCAGCGGGGCGGGGCATTCTGGAAGGGGTGTGCCTAGGAGTGAAGGACCCTAAAGCTCTGAACTGAGCTCTCCAGGGTGCGGGGAGGGAGACTCGCGCCGTAGCTAGGCTCGGACTACGCAATGAGTTCATCTAGCGGCCCAGCGCAGTGGCCGATCCCTGCGTTTTGCTCGGCGAGGGGACTCTGACCACCCAGGGCCAGAACTCCAGAACTCCACGCGGCGGTGAAAGTCGCTGACCCTATCCCTGAGCGCAGGTCGGGGGAATCTCAGACCTCTCACCTCAAGTCTGATTTGGGGAAAGTATCAGCATTAACTCGGAAGCTTTTGCCCCTCTGCGTGGCTTCCAACACTTAAGAGTCTCCTTTACGCATTCATTTAAGTTTGCTGCATCTGTCTTTGTTACTGATTTACTTCTTTAAAGAGAAAGTTTCCCAGAGAAGTAAGTCAGTCAAGCTGAAGGCCCACAACAAAATTCAGTTACTGATTTTAATTCATCGCCAAGCTAGAAGGTTTACCTTGCGGACGAGATGCACCAAGGACAGGCAACCAGCACCGACCTCTGTGGGGACGCAGAGCTGCAGTAGGCGCGCTGGGCTGCCAGCAGGACTGCAGCCTACTCAGGCGCAGAGCACCCCGTTCCCCCTTTGCAGGCGGGCCTGGCTCTGACGAAACCCTGAGGGACTGGGTCTCCGCTGTCCCCAGACAAGTCCTTGTATTCATTCTTCCCTTCCCCATCAATCACCGCCAGACTCCTCCCGGGCCTTCCGACCGCGCCGCAACCTTTCCCCTTGGGCAAAGCCTGGACAGCGTCAGCGGGGAGCTGCCCGCTAGGGAGGGAGGCCTGACCAGAGGCGCGTCCCACACGCGCTGTGCATTTGACATAGTTCTAAATTCTACAAATGAAGTGCATTGTGCTGGGGGCTCCAGATGAGAACAAACCTCTTTGCTGAACGTCTTAATGCCCACCGTGTCTTTTCTTTCAGATGAATGTCCTGCCGTGATAGTTAAGACCTCCTTGGTTTGGGAACGCTGCTCTTTGCTCTAATTTTGCCCTGAAGTTGAAAGTCCACAAGGGCCCGGCAGGGAAGACAATGATCTTTTTTTTTTTTTTTTAAGGCCTACTTGCTGCTCTAGTCTGCCCTCATTTTCTATGAGATCTTTCCTTCCCCCCTCCCTCCTCTCTCTCTCTCTCTCTCTCTCTCTCTGTCTCTGTCTCTCTGTCTCTCTGTCTCTCTCTCTCTCTGTCTCTGTCTCTCTGTCTCTCTGTCTCTCTCTCTCTCTCTCTCTGTCTCTCTCTCTCTCTCTCTGTCATACCAGAAATCGAACTCACTACCTGGAGTTTGCTAGGCAGGCAGCGGATACACTGAGCTAAATCCCCTGCCCAATGCCCTTATTTTCTATAGTGTAACTTGCTTGTTGCTGTCTGGGGGATTTTTGTTCTATAATTATGAGGGACTTGATACAGGAGACTTAAAAATCATCAGAAAGCTGCTATACAGATTTAATATGGTATTCATTTACCAGGCGGAGCAGTGAAACAAATGATCTCTATCCATTCTTCAGCTCTACTTTTATGGCATAGAGAGAAATAACGACTGGCAGTTTTGACCCAAGGTGGTGTAAAAGTCAGCAAGTTGGGCAGTTTGGTGAGCTGGATGTTACTCTCTTGTCTGCCAGTCGGCTAAGTCCCTGCAGGACTGGGAAATTTCAAGTCCAAAAGGCACCGTTCTATTCATGTAGCAGTCATCCTGGAGGTATTTGCCTGGCTCCAGCATTAGTTAATGAATTAGATGATACACGAATGTTGGCCTCTCCCCCCACCCTTTGCTTCCTCCCTTTCCCCCTCTTCTCTTTTACTCCCATGAAAAACGTTCTGGGAACCTGGAAGTAGAAAATCAATTTCTATTTCAGAAAGTGAACTTTAAGTGAAAGATACAGTTAAGAACACTCTTTAATAGTAAGGTTAGGGCCGGGGATTTAGCTCAGTGGTTCTGATGCCTGCTTTGCAGTTTTGCAGTGCAAGTTCAGGAGTTCCATCCTCAGTACAAAAACAAAACAAAACAAAACAAAAAGAAAAAAAGGGAAGGTTCAATGAATGTAATGAATGTGAAGCATGATCTGGTGTCCCGGTGCTAATTACAAAACAGGCTGTTTTGAACATAGTTGTTATGTACCTGCTCTCAGTGAAAAAGGTCAACTTTCAATTGCTTCTAGCAGAGTGAAGAAACAATGCATATTGTTATCTGAAAAGGAATTACATGGATGCACTGGGAGTAAGAACAGTCTGCTCATTTGGCTCCCCCAGGGCAGATTTGAAACCAGTCCTCTTATACAATCTTCCTTTCTTGCCCCGGCACCACATGGGAGCTTTCTCTTCCTTGTTATCTTCATCGCTATCTTCATTCTTGTGTCCTGTGAGCTCCTTATGCTTTCCACCAAGGTTCTTTTCTTGTAACACTGTTTGGCTACACAGCTTAGTACTTGATCACCTAGAGACTTTTATGGATCACTGTTTATTAATTTGTTTCTTCAGGCTAGGGAGTGAATTCTGTGTTCTTTCTGTGCTACCACAATACCCAACATCGGTTGAGCTCCAGAAATATTTTTGTAGATTTATAATTTCATTTTAAAGCATTTAATTATATTTTTAGTAACTCTAGTCATAGGGCTCAAAACTTAAGCAAAATAATTTTGAAGTAAACATATACCATTTCTCATTTGGAATTTAAGATGGCATATGCTACTATGCTACCTATCATAGGACACATAGTCTATAACTGGCACATTATAGGAGTTCATTTACCCCCCCTACAGTAATCTTTGAGCTCAAAATTATTTTTCATGATTTTTATAGGTAGTGAAATTGAGTCTCAAAAATTTACTCAGAGTCACATGACTGCTTGGTTGTATGACCAGGATTTGGGGTTACGATTTGAATCCATGTCTCTCAGACTGTTCTTCAGCTTAGAATGTAAGAAGATCTTAACTTATATTTTGGGAAAACTATGTTTTAGACTCTAATAATATTTAATAGAAATTTAACCTAAAATATTTCACCAAAATATGTAAAGGTAAACATGTGAGATATAAAGATTAAATCTTTGAACCTCATGAATAACCATTATCAAATTTCAAGAAACTGGGTCTCAGTTTCCCCTTTTGTAAAGTAGAGGGACAGAGTTAGAGTCAAAGTTACTTTCTGCTCTGATAAATGAGTCAGGCTGATAAACTGTCCCTCTGAAAGTGATCTGAAATGCCATAGAGTTGGAACAAGCAGATCTTTGGCTATATATCTTTTTCTTTTTACTTTATCTACTTGTGCTCTGGATACAGGTTTTGGTTTTTATTTTTCCACCTTATAATTTAAAATCTCATACTCATCAACTTTACTTATAAATTCACCAGTAAAGTACTGTGTATATTTCATTTGAATGTATGAGCAAAATGTGCCTAAGTTTATGAATCTTTTCCTGAATACTTTTGGATTTGGATTAATTTTGCATATATGTAAATTTTATTGGGGGGTGTGGGTCTCCATAATTGGAATCTTTCACAAAGTTGCTTTTAGGAAGATGCTTTCACAAAGTATTTTAGGAAATTTGTCAAAATTCAAGATTGGCTAAAATAACCTGGCAAAATGAGAATAGTGAAGGGAAATGTCTCAATATCTCCTTTAAAAGCTTTCACTAGAAAGTTCCTGACTGAAGACAGAGTTGAATGCGCTTCAGAATTTATTCCTTCAGAGACGTTTGCCATGGGGAGTTTGCCAAAAGCAAATCTTTTCCGTTGGTAAGAGAAAAAAGAAAAGCCCGTTAGCACAAAAAAGCTAATACTTTCATGTAATCCTCTTGATATGAATGTACCTTAGAAGCCTACCTTGAACTCTGTAAATCTTGAATGCTGAGGGACAAGGAGTGTGGAAAATGCAGGAAGAGAAGGTTCAATTTCTTCTCCACACGTTCCCTGAGGAGCAGATCCAATGATCAAATAGTGGTTGAAGCGAGAGCATAAAAAAGATTTAAAGTGACTGCACAAATCAATAGCAAACAGCATGAACATTTCTATTTCTTGGATTTTTTTAATGTTAAGTGACTATAGGTAAGTGAGTCATATTGTTGAGAATCTATTTAAAATTAAAATATAATTATATACAGGTAACCGGGCAAGTTTGAAGTACACAGTTTGAAGAATTTTGACCAATGTGCATGCCTGTATCATTCATTCGTATCTAAGAAGCTATTTGAAAATGTGTTTTTTGCAAATTAGCAAAACCTGAATATTTTGAACTTAGATACAATTTCTATTAAACCCTGCATCAAGACATTACATCTGCATTATGAATTTATTATATATATATATATATGTACACACACATATATATGTGTTATCATCTTCTGTGATTGAAATGTGAGATTTGCTTGCAGATCACACAATCTAAGATTTAAAATTTTAGCAATAATTGTTTTCACTATATAGTCCATGCCTTGAAGTAATAAAATTTGATAGTCTCCATAGTAAACTAGAAATAACACATAATCAAATTCTGCTTATAGAAAATAGGTAAATCAGGAAAGCTGCACTTTGTTTTTTTTTTGTTGTTGTTGTTTGTAGAAAGTGTGAAGTTTAGCTACTTTACACTATGGTTTACATTAATTAAAGGGCAATTATTTGCTTTTTAATACTTAAGTAATTTTTGTCTTCTCTTCTTTGATGTGTTGTTTACATTAATCTCAGTAAAAAAACCCTTCAGTATAACTTATTCTACAAACTTAAAACTTCTTATAAAACTTTGAGGCAAATTAAAAAATATATTAGAAATTCCAAACTAAACAGGCAGTTTGATCTGTATTTTCTTAGTTTATCAATGCACACGATGCTTATATAAGTTATTTTTAGGTCATACAGTCCTGAAGAAGACACTATTTTAATGTGATGTTAGAACAGTCTTATCAAGTGTAAGGCAATAGTTTGCAGGCTATTTTATATAGAGTATAACTTCTATACATTTAAGTACTTTCTTTGCATTTATTTTCTAAAATTTTCACCTTTTCTTGTTTCCATTATTTTGATATACAAACACACAGTCTAAAGAGATGTAAAATGGTCAAAGGAGGTTAGAAAGAAGATAAAGGGAAACTTGGAGTTTTAATAATCCAGTGGTGAATAAAGGAGAGTTACTGTTTTATAATGAAAGGGAAAGTTCTTTGCAGCATAGAATGAGGCATCCTGATAGAAACCAAAAAAATTCCCACAATAGGTTTTTTCCTTTTTAATAATTGTATTTAATTAATGAGATTAAAAAATCTTATTTCTGCTAATTATTAAGCTTTGGCATGGAGAGCTCAATCAAAACATGTTAATATCCATAAAGTTTCCAATTATGCTCTGATCTTTGTTGTAGGGGAGTAGAACTACTTGAATTAAAATTTAAAGGAAAAAAAATACTTTGCTGGGGATTTATTCACTGTACATCAGATGAATCATATACTCTACAGCCCAGTCTAAACTCAATAGCTCAAAATTAGGGTACTTTTGTCGAGGGGAAGGATCATCAGGGTTTCAAAGCCAAAGTCTTGGTCCACCCTTTAGAGACAGACACATGCACAGGAAATTGCCTCTTCTCTTTTGGGCCCAGCAGGGAAAAACAGCTATCACTACCTCTGGAGAAAGTGATTCAGAAATGCTTTATCAGTATATGGTTGTCCAAATGAAGCTACTCACATAATCTCACA